GTTTTTATAATTTTTAACTTTGAAAAGGACCTTTCACCAAATGCAACTGAAACCGGCAATGTAAGTAATATTCTTATTGCTATTGCTGTGTTAGGAAATGTTGATATTAAGTCATTAGTAAAAAGATATTGTAATAGGGTTTGTGGATCATTAGACTGGTTTCCTGGAAAATGCAACTTTAAAGAACAGATTTCAATCATACAAATCAATACCGTCAATGTCTGTTTCACTACTCGAATCGTCTTTAAGATTCAGATTTAAATGCTAACCAAGTTAAAATATGATTAATTATACTTAGACCCATGTCAGATAAATTATTAACAAAATAATTGCAATTTGATACGCGATAGAACTGTTCGAATGCGTACAAGTACAAATTGAGAAGGAAGCTCTATGGGGATTCCCTATTACCGCCAGTCCTATCAACTTCTGTCGTAGAACACGACTATGAGTACTTGGCTTCCGGGCGCCGCCGGATGCTTCAATCTGCCGACAGACGTTTCGCATTGCATCTTAATTCTGATAAAAGCCAATAGAGGCGCTTTAACGCTATAATATAAATAAGAATATAATAATTGCGCGCCGGTCAGAATTTTTTTCTTCATGCGAAGACATTTCTTATGCTATAAGCAGGGTAAGTATTATGATAATGACTTTGAATAATACGTAACCGATCGCTCGATTTGCCGCCCCCTGGACGTGCCGCCCTCGTGCGGTGCACGCCTTGCACGCCCGCTTACGGCGGGCCTGACATTGAGTATGTTCGTAAAGTCGAACGAGTTAAACGAGAATGACATCATCGTTATTCCTATTTCGTTAGATTTTTCGAACGATTCGTTACTAATGCATTTAACTCGTTTGACTTTACGAACGTATCCATTATTAAAGACTTCGATACAAAAATGAAAATTTGTGAATTGGCAAAGAAGTTTGATCTACCGGAATTGTCGGTCTGAACAATTATAAAAGGCAAAGAAAAATTCTCGAAGCTGTGAAAAATGCTCAATCTTTAAATTCAAGCATCATTCGTAAACGTCACAGTATTATCGCTGAGATGGAAACAGTGTTAAAATTATGGCGTAATAATCAAGTAAATGTGAAAAATTGTAAAATAATATAGGTCTAATTTGTTATACATATGTATTATCTAAGATTTTATTAAATATTTTTTTCTAAATTATTGTTTTCTTTAGTCTCCGGCCCCAATTAAAAATTATTTGTATGTATTTATATTTATATGCGAAATTATACTCCGACTTACGCGGTTACCGCTCGGTCCCACCTATCGCGTAAGTTCGGGGTGTTACTGTACGTGAGAAGATCGGCACGTTAGAAGAGTTCTGGATGACATATGCGTGGTAAATGTCCCGTTCTGAGAGTAGATTTGCAATCGATGAAATCTAGATTGATTCGGAGTTGATAGAATAACTTCGTCTTCGAAACCCTAATTCGGAGGCAATAAGTATTCCAATTTTGCGATGACAAGGCATTCCGTTTCGGAGGCCCTAATGTTCCGGGTCAGAGCCTCTAGTATAATCCGTTTCGGAGGCAATAAAGTTAACGTTATCGGACGAGATAGAGCGGCAACTTTTCGCTGGCTTTACAATGGCTTTATTGGTTGAAGTAGACCGAAATGTGCGTGAAAACATCGAACGTATGCTATTTTCCTGATCACGGGTCAGAGCTCCGCACTTTAATACAATTAGAAAGTTATTTCAATAACTGAAACAAATTTCTAATTGCATTAATCGTGATTAAAAAGGCCCTCTTAGTTCCTTTCACTGTAAAGTCGATTTGAAACCTTGTTTACTTGTAATTTAAACTTATAATTTAAAGAAATAAACTAAAACTCATTTAAAGTTTTTAATTTTCATAAAATTGTTTAACGGACAACATTTTTAATTCTCTAATTGATTAAATTAATTGTAATGCAAACGAAGTCTTTCAAGAGCCATTTGTAAATCCTTATTTTGTTGTCCGATTTGTTCTATTCGATCCATTAATTCGGCTCTTTTCTTTAAGACGCAAAGATACTTTTTCTGAATCTGAAAGAGTCCATCCCACAGACATATTCGAGATTTAGGAAAAGCAGTCGTATATTTATTCCAATAAACTTCGTCTTTCTCTCCAAATTCGTATTTGGAGGTTTTAATGGAATCCGAGTCGTTTGAATTGTTATCAGAAGCCAAATTCGCTTCCAAACGAAAATCGATTGCCAGCTCTATGAAGGCATTCATGACACCTTCCGAAGATATTAAGTTGCTGCAATTCTCGCAGTCGTCTATTTCGGTATATTTCGTGAGATACTTTGTTAATTTTTGCAATGATGCTTTGTCCTTGATACCAAAAATCTCCAAAATGACATCGACAGATATCAAGGACCTGCCATCTTTTGGCAAGTGCTTCAAGATGGCCAGCACTTTCTCTTCTATAACAAATCCCATTTCGTTACATATTTTTTCCAAAAGACAGCGCAAACTTTTTGGCCAATCGTCCTTTGTCTGTTGTTTTGTGACCGGTGGTAAAATGGCATGAGAATAAATCGTAGAAGAAAGAGGCCCACGATTCTGAGTGAAAGAAGTGTCCACATTCATCCATTTTCTTCTAAGAATTTGCTCGTGAATGATTCTATCGGCAATTTTTACTTTCTCTAACAATTCTTTTGCATCATCTTCTTGAGAAACCCAAATAGAGCGGAATCGATTTTTATTCACTTCACAATGATAATCTGATTTGAGTTTTGTAGAAGACATTCGAGAAGTCAGTAATTCGATATTTTTCAGTAATTTCTTAATTTCTAAATGACCTTCTCGCGTTAATTTGGAGTATTCGTTCATCAGAAATATTTCCTGATCCTTCAAGCGATTCAATTTCCTTTTCTGTTCAGCTCGAGCCCTGATGGCCTCAGTTTCTCTTCTTTGAAGAACTTGAATGTTATGCTCTAATTTAGCTTCGTTCAAATAACATTCTGTTTTCATTCCTCTCAATAATAGAGTCACTTCTTGAATTTCATTCTCTAATTGGCGCTGAATTTTTTTAGTTTTTTTTGTTAATTTAATTTCCAAATCGTAAATCTCTGTCTTCTGTTTCTCTTCTTGAAACTCTAATTCTTTAAATTTCGTTTCGTTGTTCAAATGGGTCGAAAGATTGACTATGTTATTATTTACTTGGTTTTGAATCATATTCTTATGATTCCTCCCTAACGATTCCACAGAACGTTCAAATTCTTCTTTAGTTAATTTGAAGAAATCTTTGAAAATTTTATCAGTTTTCTTCGTTAATGTCAGTACATTATCTCTTAAATATTCCAAACTCAAGTCGAATTTTTCGTCTTTCTTCTTCACTTGCTCCTTCAACAACACGATTTTCTTCTCTTTATCGGTTAGAATCTTTTGAATGGAATGTTTTAATGCTAGAAATGTCTCATATTCCTCCTCCGAAGATCCTTCACTATCTTTACTCCATTTTTCTTTCAGTTGATCGAATATGCCATCTGCCATTTTAATTGAATCATCTAATTCTTGTATCTGTTTTTTGCTGTTATTTAATGTTTCTTCTTCCTCTTTCTGACGTTTAGATTCTCTTTGAAAGAGTTTTATAGCCACATCAGTTAAATCTAAGAGACCATTTTGATAGTTCCATCGGATTCTATCAGGTAGTTCGTCTTTTTCGTATTCTTCATTCTTCTCAGAAATATTTCTGTCTAGGAATTTCAACAGTCCCATTTCTCCTTCCATATAATTCAAAATTTCTCCCTTCTTCTCCATATTATTATTCTTAAATCGATGTTCACCTCCCGTAACCATTCAATTTTCTTTTTAGTCAAATTATTCGAATAATCTAACGAATTTTTCGAAATTAACAGAATAAAAATTCAATTTTTTTGTTCATATTCGCTTCTAAATTGCATTAATTAATATTTTGAATCGCCGATTATAAATATATTCAGACATCTCGAGTCCTCTGACTCGAGACGTTATTGTTAGAGAAATAAACATTTATATAAAAGCAACAATGGAAAGTTTTTTGAATGGCGCCTTCTACTATCAGTTAAGAGAAACAAAGCTATAACACGAATCCAGGAAGATGTATATGTTGTGTTTACCTCACAGATAGACAAATACAGACAACTTGATTGACGCAAAGTTCCGTGAGTACCAAAATGAACTTAACAGCAGAGAAAAATTTTCTGCGGATGCCCATGATTATTCGATAAATTAGCCTAATTAGGAGAATGCCAACGTCTGATTTATCGATCTAATTTTTTTTTGTTTGTTAATTCGTTTTATGATTTTATGATTGGGGTTCTTGTGATAATTCGGAGGAGGTCTTTTCCTACAGGTAATAGATATAAATGTAGAATGAATAAATTTATTTTCACGGATGACCATTTATCAGTTAGAGACAAGGATAAAACTATATCAGCAAATTCACTTGCAATTATTTAAAAAGTCTGAAACGGCTGTTAGAAAAACACGATTAAGTAACAAGTGTTTACAAAACTATAACAAAATTCATGCGACTAAAGGTTAAATTGTGAAATATTTTTGCAATAACTTTCAACGTATTGACCTCATTCGAAAGTACAAATTTCCGATAAATTATTAACTAAAGTGAGTAAAAATTCATATTAATTTCGAATAAATCTATAAATATTTAACCGTTGTTGTATGATCATTTTAAAGCATATCGATCTGCTACACCTATTAATTTTCTTGTACCGTGTGAACTGATTACTTGCAACAGTTAAAGAAATTTCGAATCAGAAAAACATTTAGGTAAAATATGAATAAAAATCTTAAAAAATTAAATTATATTAAACCATTGAACACACTGCGGGACACCAACGGGCTGACAATGTGAAATTTTCCTCGTGTCTAACACCTGAATAGAGGCCAGTTTCTAATATAAAGTCCTCCGGGGGAGGCACTTCCCCTTGGCAGATTGCCCACATGTTGTATTGCCTTATCCCATCAATTCTAAATTCCTTCGGGATCTTTCGTTTTAATTAATAATTTTTCTATCACAGATTTGATTCAATTCTTGATCCAGTAATAATAATAGTATGCTGAGTGTGGCGACAGCTTTGGCGATAAACCCCAAAGTCGCCACAAGGGGGAACCCCTGACCTGACCTATGACATCACACACATTCTTGTTGGATTTGGACCTCTCCAGACATGTGTAGTAACACCTCGTGTATTAACCTGTACAGTCGCGCCATAATTCATATATAGCATAAATGATAATCTTTTATTGTATGTGGCCCTGTTTGTAATGAGTAATTTCACACAAACTGGTGCCCACACTGAGAATTATCAAAATTTATTTAAAATAGCTTTCATATTTCATATATTTCGATTACAATCATTAACCTTAATCCATTATTAAGCTAAAGTTACCGTTAATAAAACATAAAACGATTATTTTCTTAGGATGATAATTAATACGTCAACCAATTTCTTGGATTGTGTATCAAGATCTTATCAATTTCCTGTTGATTGATGTCTCTAATCAGCATTTTTGGTACCACATATTTTAAAATGTGCGAGAAGCCGTGCCCTCCATATTTTCCCTAAAAAAAAATATAATATAAATATAGCTGCAGGAGCATATCTTTTAATGATTTTGATGTTAGAATATTAATTAAAGCACTTACCAGACGATGTTTGGTGTGAATATCGTGAGAAATCACGATCTTATCCGCAAATCCTTGTCTTATTAAATGACGTACCAGCATAATTCTATGAGCATCGTTAGGCATGTCGATAGAAGGATTTAACGTGTAGTAAGAACACTCTAGTCCAAACAGATCAAATTCACAATAACACCCGTTAGACGCAAATTCGGAGAGTTTTGCTAAATCAAATATGGTTCCTGTAAAGATTATTTTATTTTTCATGATTTGAACATTAATATTTGTAGTATAGATATTAAATAATTATCAAATCATACGTTCTAAATGAGACATAACAGTTTTAGATGCTATTCCACCCGCCTCTTGTAGGATTCTAATAATTTCTTGAGGAGATCTTTCGTCTCTGCCAGGATGAATGATAACTGGACATTTTAACTCACTTTGTACCTCTCCAGCAGCTCTTAAAACATTTCTCTCGAATGCTTTTAGATTAAATGGGAAAAAATTAAAGATAATCTAATGAATGAATGCAAATAGAACATTATACTTACGCTCTAAAGGGTAGGAGCAACCTAATTCACCAATTACTCCACATTTGATGTCTGTATTGCCCACACCTTCTAACAAATCCTTCTTCATTGTCTTAATTAGTTCTTCTACTGACATTCCTAATGTTTGTTTATCTTGTAGAAGTGCAATATAATAACCTAAAAGGAAAATTGTCTATCATTTATTTACCTTGAAACAGAAATTTTCAAGTTTAACATATTATTTTATCTCTCTTTTATCACTACTAACAGATAAAAAGAGTATCAAAGCCATTACAGTGTATAACATATCAAGAAATAAAGATGAAAGCACAAGGCTGAGATGAATAGAGAAGGTTGTATCAATTATTTAACAAATAGAATAATATACAAATTTACCTGTTCCTGCAACGATATGAACTCCAGTTTCCATAGATAATTGCTTTAAAAATTCAATATCCCTGTTTAATCCATAAGTAGTATTTTCAACCACAGTTCCTCCTCCATTCAACTTAAAAGACTTCATTTCTTCTAACACAGCCTGGCGACTGACAGCATCTTTGATATTCACATTATCCGAATGACTGTATCTGAACGGTAATTTTCATTTAATTCTAATTAACCAATTTATTTACATATTAAGAAGAGAAGCATACTAACGGGTTTTGACTGATCCAATGGAAATTTTCAAATGTAAATGGGCAATTCTGCATTAATCGAATTTCCTCGGTATCCGGTACTTGAAATCCCAAACTTTTAGAATTCAACGAGAGATGTTCGTGGGTTAAAGTACGTCCCAATTCGGATGGATCCACGACTCCTAAAACTGAAATTTAAAAAAATAATTAAATTGTTTAATTGGTAATTAAGTGTTTAAATGTATTTATTGGGATGGGATTTACCTGTTTGCACTTTATTTTTTAAAGAATCCATCGTCTTTTAGTTGATATGCAATTAGCTCGACACTAACGAAGATAAAGTAGACGAATCTTCGCTGTTGTCACGTGTCCAAGTCCTTCACCCCTGGCCACGTGGCTGATCGACTCCTTATCTTGTCTCCTTTTCAAGGACACTTTAGTAAATCAGTTTTATCTAATATTCTCGTATAACTTCATTATAAATCAATAAATATGAGAGATTCCCTTCAAAAATTTATCATAATTAATAATTCAGGAAAAATTTTAATTTTTTCGGATACGTGAGTCGACAAAATATCAGTTCTGTAGAAAAAAATAATTCATACAAAAAACTATAACTCAATTTCAGCAGAAAATTGTGTAATTTTTGAAGAATTTAGCGGATGATAATGCGCTTGTGTATTACCGAATTTAAAAATTTACCGGGAATACGCCATTTTGTAATTTAGTAGCTAGCGCCGCCTGGTGTCAGTTTTGAACAGACGTTATAAAAATCTTTAAAATTATTTTAATTTCATATTTCTTCCAGGATATTCTTTTATTGTTGGAAATGAAAAAAGACACTCGTGTATAAGTATTACCATTGTTAATTTTATACACATTATTTCTTCAGCCATTCAGTTTGGTTTTATTTAGTAGTTCCTACCGAAATTGCCCACCTTTAATACAATCTGTTGCATTTATTAAAAACAAATGAAAAATGTTGATTATAGTCACTGGTTTACATCTTAAAAATTTTTAATGTAGTGAGAAGTCACCAGAGTAAATTTTTGAAAACTTCTAGACCCCTTTTTTCAAGGCTAAGATACACAAAATAAATCAGTGTACTAATTTATCTCAATTTTGTTGGCAAAGTACTCTTCCACCATTGACTTCAGATGATGAAACCTTAGATAAATGGATCAAGACTACTGTACAGAACACTAGTCAATTTTTTATCTGTTTATATAAATGCTAAAAAGCAAAATTGACTTTTCTTACTCTTAACTATGACAATTTAACTAATATATTTTTACTTTCATTGATGGTATGCTTTTTCTAAATATTTTAATACATTTTTGTGATTAGTAGTTTTGCAACAAGCAACACTGAATTTTATGTACACAAGTATCCCACTTTTCAAAAATTCACTTTATCTCCCTTCGCTTGACCCACATTAGTATGTTTTTTGGGAAACAAAGAAATCTCTGAAAAGGAGACTTGCTTTGATGAAAAAAGGCAAAAAGCAATAATAGCATTTAGCATTTGTCTTGCAGTGACCCCAAATGGCACTTCCAAGCTCCTTCCCCAGAAACTTCAGTCGGCATTTAAGAATCAAATGCCATGGCTTTGAACCATGACTACACATATGGGCTTAGTTTGTGTCCAGCCTGATGAAATAGTCTGTCTCCTTGAAATTAAGTCCAGTTTTGTACAATGCATAATACTCTTAAGAGTTCTCTCATGATACCTTAGGACACATCCAATAACAGATGCACAAAATAAATTGAGATTAACCACAGATACAAATACAAATGTCCCGAAACCTGATATATTAGTAATATGCCAAACGACTGCCAGATTAAATCGGCTTGCTTCTCACAGTGTGTAGAAAGTTATAAGTGAAGTTTCGTCTTCCAATATCATGTGAGACTAGTAATATACAGTCGACCCCCTATAACACTGTTGATTTTTCCCTTTTATACGAATTCCATGTTGTACAAGTCACTTAGATTTTACAAATACGTGTGCCGAGCTGTGAACAGCACACGTATTTGTAAAATCTAAGTGACTCGTACAACATGGAATTCATATAAAAGGGAAAAATCAACAGTGTTATAGGAGGTCGACTGTATATCACATCTTTCATAATTATGTACAATTAACAGAGATCAAGATTAAAACAGTTCTCTTTATTTTGCCTATTTAACAATGCATTTAAGATTGGTAATTTTACAATCTTTCTTCAGACTCATGGCTTTATTGTCTAATGTTGTCTACAATGTAATGAACAAAAGCTTAGTTCATCTTAAAAGCCATTCATCTATTGACGTCTGTAAATAGGTAATTTATGTTCCTAAATTAGGTAAGTTTATAATGTATATTTTTGAAGTCTATAATAAATCAAATAATTGTATAACTTTTATTTTTCAATCAATAAAAAATAGTAAAAATATTATATGCTACATGATAACCGTAATAAATGACTATGCTTGCGAAAATAGTCCCGACACATCTTTGTATACTTAAAAATATACACAAGTTTTTTATAATTTGAATACAAAATTATTTTGTACCAATTACAAATCTCATTTTATTTTCCTTCCTTATCAATTTATTAAATATTTTAACATGTATTTCACTATTTTTTACTGTGAAACTTCCTGCTTGGATCATTGGCATGGTCTTTCAATAATTGACAGGGTTCAAACTGAGGTCCATACAGTTCTGTAAATTCGTTCATGAAACAAACAATCTTATCCGCTCCGTAAGAATCGACATAACGGAATGGTCCTCCGAGGAATGGTGGGAAACCAAGACCAAACACTGCACCTATGTCTCCTTCCAACTGCAGTTAAAAGAATTTCCATTAATGTTGTGTATAATTTTCACAATTAACAAAATAAAAATTTAATTAAATGTTACAGATCATAATCAATCAAATGCTAAAGATTTTCAGCTAAATTACAAAAAAAAGCTGAAACTAAGGTATATTAACTTTATTGAATATTTAGATTATTAAAAACTCTAGCATATTTCTATAAAAAGGACAGATGGTTTTTTTCTTTACATAGCATAAAAATAGACACAATAAAAATTAATTTATTCTTTATTTACTGCAGTAAAAATTAAGACAAATTATCTCTACTCACAGNTAACTTTATTGAATATTTAGATTATTAAAAACTCTAGCATATTTCTATAAAAAGGACAGATGGTTTTTTTCTTTACATAGCATAAAAATAGACACGATAAAAATTAATTTATTCTTTATTTACTGCAGTAAAAATTAAGACAAATTATCTCTACTCACAGGATTGTCTAGAATTCCTTCTTGTAAACATAATATAGCTTCATTGATAAATCTAGTTGCTAATCTCATTTGCTGTTCTTCAATTGTGTGTCTAAAAAATTAAAATTTTTATTATATAAAGCAAAATTATATTAACTGTAGCATAATTATAACAGCATTAAATAGTAAACATGTCAAAAAACAAAAGCAAATAAATAATGATGTTTGAGATTAAGTTACAGACACTAAGACTTTTAAACTCATGTAAAGAATCATCCAGTTACAACTATTACTATATGTAATGTTGCTTGTAATGCAAACTGTTCTGTACATACTAGGGTTTCTCAAACGGGATTCCGGGATCCCGGTTGCTTTTTTAACCCGGGAAATCCCGCAAATTTCTTAAAAATCCACTTTTTTTCTTATTTTGTGTTAAGGTTGAGGAATTTTGCAAATAGAAAGCATAATTAACTCATTCACTGTCAGAATACATTTGTATTTATTAATTTTAAACCTACCTATTAGTTTTTTTTAAATTTTTGCTCGTTATAGCATGTCACAAATGGTCAATAATCAATATATAGCTTATTTGTGGCAGGACTATAAAAATTCTTTACTTGTCGGAACCTGTAATATCTGGAATAATTGTGCTTACGCTGTCTTGAGTTTTAACCATGCCCAGTAGCTTCAATAAATGCCTGACGCCAGATTGTGCAAATTGGGCAAGGATACAAACGAGTACAAAGTCTGCAAGTATGAAGTTTTTCTTCATAAACCTGATTATTAAAGCCAAATGAATTGCCGAATTATCGAGCTCTAAGCTTGATGCCGCTATTAAAGCAGCCAAGGTAGACAAATCAAGAATACTAGAGAGCGAAAGAAGTACTACAATCTCGAAAACGAACTCGAAATCTTCCAGGCTACAGGTGAAAAAACACATAATATCTGTCTTCTCTTAAATGCATTAAACACTATTCCAATCACATCAATTGAATCGGAAAGGGCATTCTCGGTGGCAAGACTTTTCATTACTAAAATAAGAATTAGAGTGAGTTATCGGAGTATTGACCATCTTTGCTTTTTAAAATCTTATAAAAGTTTGCAATATTTTGTATTATATTTTATTTAAAAAACGAAAATTACCTTCTAAATTAGAAGTTCATTTTTTTAATTTTTAACTCAATTCAAAACATTTTTTTTGTTGTTGTTGTATGCAGTTTCCAGCAAACTTTAATTAATTTTTTTCTATTTGTGAAAATTTCTACGTTATTTAAAGGTAATTTTTATTATAGGCCTATAGACCTTACACAGCATTATTAATATGATTTTGGAGGTTACAGAACTTTAAAATTACTTTAAAAAATGGAAAATAATTATATCATTTGATTTCAAGATATTTTGTATACCTTAAAAATAATTAATTCTATCCCGGGATTTCCCGGGATCCCGGGAAACAGTTCACTTTTATCCCGGGATCCCGGGACAAGCAAAAGACCGGGAAATGAGAAACCCTAGTACATACAATAGTAATTCACAGATACTGAATGATTATATATTTAAAATTAATGAGTACTTGTGAATGGATCTTTGCTACAAATGCTTTAAAAAGGATGGCACTATTCAGAAATTTGACTAGAATTGAGATGAGACTAGTCCAACCAGGATGATCAAGAAAATCAAGTTATATAGCAACATAAATGTATTGAGTGTGTCACATGTCAAACTTTAGCAAAACTATTCACTGAACAAATTGGTAATGATATCTTCATATAACTTGAGACTAGTCACAGTGATAAGAAAAGTATGAGGGAAAGATTCGAAAAGTAATCATTAGTGATAAATTTTTGAAAAGTTTATTTTAAATCATCCTGTATGTTTTAAGCTATTGGTGTGCATTTATTCCCAAACACAGAAATTTGAAATTCAACATGTTTTCGACCTGATTAATGGACAATCACATTGGGCTCCAAAAACCAAATACTGCATCGTAACAAAAGAAATTATTTTTGAAGCTTGATGACCCTTTCAATGGGCTGAAAACTTATGATTTATTGTTAATGGTGTACATTTTACTCTTCAGTTATTTCTGTACATTATTAACTTTTCCAATAGTTCAACTTAAGTTTGTAGTCTATTAAATTAAATAAAAACAAACCTTTGTTATTTTGACTGCTAAATAATGTAAATGAAGCATGATTTTTATTCAGTGTCTTTGAAAAGATTATTATTAAAGAAAATATAGCTTTTTAATTTAAGTTAGTGTACAAGAGAAAAAGATGATGTGAATACGTATAGCATTCTCTCTCTTCTAAGCTAATAACTGAAAACTGATTAAAATTGTACAGCCATTGCTCATGTGCAAAAAATACCTACAATTTTTAAGTTTTACAGTGATAAAACTAACTCTTTTGTATTGCATTATATATAGATTTCTTTTTTCTATTTCATTTGTGATGATATTAACAGAAAGATAATGAAAGAAACTCATAAAAACAAAACAACCATTAAAGTAAAAATATCTATAAAGTTACCTGAGATGATCTAAAACAAGACTGTCAAGTATGTTCAAATAAAAGTTTTGAACTTCCTATCACCAAAAACAAACTTTTCAGTCATTTTTGTGGTGTTTTGAATTTTATGAACTCCATTTTAAGCAGAAAGATGTTTAAAGTAAACCTTTTTCCTTTTTGTTTATGATAATCATAGCAAATACAAAAATGTGATACAAATCTAAATTTCTATGTTACATTTTAATATTTGAATAAAGCTTTTTTACTTTTTCTTAGGTTGTCTAAGATATTTCTTCATGATTTCAGTTGCCTCTGGATTAACATCTCTTTCCTTAACACCAGGTGTATAAATGTAACAACCTTTACCTGATTTTCTACCTGTATAAAAATATGAAAATAATTAAATATTAAATACATCTAGAGTTACAAATGTGAAATGATTTTCAAATATAAAGCAGCTCATACTCAAGAAAGCCTTACTAATAACATTTCCGTTATTAGTATACTATGAATTTAAAATAGACTAGTACTAACTCCTTTACAAAAAATTGTAAATATGTTTGACATCATTGTTACCCCAGAATTAAGACAGCCAATAGGTAATGAATTATGTAAACCAACAATAGTAAATAATAATGATCTTTTAAAAAAAACAGTACATAGTATATATGTTTAATTGCAGTTTTAAACCTAGTCATTCATATATTGGTGTAATTGGTCATCTATTAGGTGTATGTATTGGTGAACATACACCTAATGGATGCATGTTAAATATAATTATGTTAGTTCAGTGGTAGCCAGGTACTGCAATTCCAAAGGGTGTGAAATTGTAAAAAAAAATTAAGAATATTAATGAAAATTATAGCATTAATGACAATTTGGGAAGTAAAGTGAGTGAATCCTGTCTACCAATTCTCATCAAGGGAAATTGCTGTTAAATACTATGGACCCACTTAACACAGTGTCACACAAGGAATTGTCTGTTTGAACTGAGTAAAAATTAGATGGAAGTACAAACAGTTAGGTTACATGCGCATACTGTAACTATTATGTTAAATATTGTAGCTTGTTTTTTCCCTTTGTAAGATTTTTATATACAGTCAAACCTCAGTTTACAAACTTAACTCATTCCTAAAAGTTGTTTGGAAACTGATTTCTCAAATTGAAACAAATTTTTCCATAAGAAGCAATGTAAAATAGATTAATCTGTTCCAGACCCCCAAAACAAAGCCTTTTTCCCACATTTTAGCAGCATTTCATGCATAGAAATGCTTACAAATGCAATGTAATATTATCTACATCCATTATGTATATATTAAAAGCAAAATGTTTCATCACTGCCAACTGAAACCGAAACCAACATTTTACAAAAAGTGCTATAAATAGAAACACAACTCTGCCTGGATGAAATATAATCAAATCAATCAAGACAGACAAGTACTTTATCCACACTTTCCCATATATTACACTTCAATTGATTTAATTTCAATTTTCATTAAAAATAAAATCAAAATTAATTTAATTAAATTTTAGTTTCAGTATAAAACTCAGTTTTATTTATAATTATTTTATTTTTAAATTTAATTAACTGGCTACCTAGTATTAATAAATATTATATTATATAATAAATTAATAAATTTTTGTTAATTAATTTCAGTTAAGCACCTCTAAATACAAATTATTGAATGTCATTTATATTATGTAAATTTTAATTAATGTGGTTTTTACTAATTAATTTGATTTATATTGAATTATGATGTATACCTAAAACTGATAGTAGTATCTTATCTGCATATGCATTGAAATCTAATTTGAATAACAATATCATTGATAGTTCATGTTATGATATCTAATGACACAAGGCGAATCTTGGTACCACTACTGAATCAGTAGTCTTGTCATTGATTGGTCGGGCCTTCTACTTTCTTTAACATGAGAAGTACAGGGTGGGGAAGAAAAAAGACGTTTTTGAAATGGCTACAATTCACCACCAGATATGTGGCAGGTAGCATACAAGTGGGGAGGTCTTAGCATTGTCTTTTCAGTTGAAGGCATGGAGCTGTGGACGATAGAACACCACATGTTTTCGTATGACTGAGGAAACAGTCATACAGAAAGGGGATCGCTTAGTCATATACATTTGATGAGAATATGTTTCCGCATCCTTGCGTACAATAGAAAAGTATTCCTATCAGATGTGTGTGGTTTCAACAGGATGGGGCAACGGTCCACACAGCTAGAGTATCAATTGACGTTATTCATCATCTTTTCTCTGGTTGCCTTATTTTCAGGTTCAGCGACATGCATTGGCCTCCTTGTTCGACCAACCTATCCATGTGCGATTACTTCTTTTGAGGACACCTCAAGGCACATGCATATAAGCATAAACTCGTTCTTTGCAAGAACTGAAGGAAGCTATTTGTGTGGAAGCTGCCAAAATTCCCTCCAGAAATGCATCACTGATAACAGACACCACATGGGAGATGATGTTTTCCACACTTGATTCTGTAAAATGCTATTTCAATATGAACTCACATCTTCCAACAAATATCTTTGTAGTAACAATTATAGATGTTGTGATTTTTAATAAAAGTCTATCCTTTCTGCCCCACTCTGTATAAGAAGTTGACCATCAGTGGCCAGCTCTGCTGAGTAGCTTGTTTGGAAACAGTTATCATACATAAACTGGAGCAAATATGGCATTCAAAATTTTGTTTGTAAACCAAGGTTGGACTGTATATAATACCTAAATGTCATAGGTATATATATTTATATAATTGTGGCTGAGGATGGTCTAGTGAAGACCAAAATGCATTCCACAAATAAGTGTCTTATCTTCTTGATGTGATCTGAATTAATTGGCTCCATTGCAGTTTGATAAGCCTCATATTGCTACCAACTGGTTATTTGAGATTATTAACTTTTTTAGAGGCAAGAAGCTTACAACTATATCATTTACATATGTAAAATATAAAGCCTCATTTTTGTATATAAAACTGAAACTAGTCTAAAAGAAGGCCAAAAGTACATAAATAATACCTAGAAATCCTTTAGAAACCATCTCTTTCAAAACATTAATGTCACCACCAGCAAATCTTTGTCCAAACACTTTACCTAAATCTTCAGCAACATGCGTAGCAACATCTATACCCACTTCATCTGCTAAAGTTGCTGCTCCGACTGGAAAACCAAATTTTTTTGTCAAAGAATCCAATTCCTTTGGTTCGACACCTTCCTATAAGAAATAAAAAGATTAACTTTGTTAAATTTAACACTTCTATTCTGTCTATTAACCTGGAGAAGCACACTAGTACATTTTATGCAACTTTGGGATGTAGATAGAACAAATATTCACACAAATTTTTAAAAAGAATTTGTTTTTCATATTTGTGTATTCTTCTATTGTCCTTGTAGGACAGAATGTTGATGTTGTAACTTGTGTTCTTGTAATTGATGTTTTCTGCACTAATGTTCAATTTATTGGTGCACTTTTCACCTGCATTGTACACTTTATTAACACAAGCATTGGATATTTCAATTATATTTAGCATAGTATTCAGATTTCTTTTTTATCTTGATGATATATAATGTAATAATGAAGTAATCATAATTTATAAATTTTAGGGTCCAAAATAGATTTCATAAGAAGAGCTCTTCAAAACTCTCCACAAAGAGAAAGATGTTTCCTTCAAGATGACTTGATTTATCATTGTTTCTTTTTCACATAAAAATGGGCAACTGATGGGATAAGGATATTGCAAACAGATTAATAGCTGACATAAAAGGTATAAATAGCCTGTATATCAGTTGTCAGTGATAGAAATTTTAATCTATTAGCAGCTGAGGCTTTAAAGAATAAAATTACATTAAACACAATAAAAAAAATAAAATGTTATTATTATGCTGTAAAAATTCTTAATTTTTACAGAATTGTTTGGGTCTAATTACAGAAATATACCAACAAATATTTTAAGATCTTCTATATTTAAAAATACTAATGATGATAAATAATTTTTAAATAAAAATTACTTGTTGTTAACATCTCAGTAAAATGTTAATAATAAATTATGTCAGAATTATAAAATTTCATATACCTGTAGAAGACAGACTGCTTCGGAAAGCATTGGAGCTAAAATTCGAGTGGTATAGAATCCTGGTCCATCCTTCACTATAATTACAACTTTTCCTTGTTTAAGACCAACACTAACTGCAGCTGCTGCCGTGTCTTTAGAAGTTTTATCAGTAGTTATAATTTCTAATAACTGCATTTTATCTACAGGAGAGAAATAATGCATTCCAACCACCTAAGAATTAAAAATAATAAATTAATTGAACTGTCCTTTAAAAAAACCTTCATTTGAAAATATTAAAAACAAAAGAATAAGTGAGAAAAACATCTGACAGTTTTATGAATAAAAAATACAATGTATAGTAGTTTTATTTCTCATTTATTAGTGTTCAGATTATTAAAAGTAATTACATGAGGCAGTTGTATTCATTGTTCTCTTCATGTCTCTTTGAAAATTTAACTTGTTCCATTTACTGAATACAGGATTTAATCCAGTACTGAATTAACCAGGACTTTTATCAATTGAAATGACAATTTTCTTGAATTACTGGGTGAAAAGAGTCCACTGAATATATTTCTCTATGACTTTTTTTTTTTGAATTTATGATTAACATATTACAAAAATAGGAATGAAGTATGAATAAGTTTTAACTCAAAATAATGCTATATAACAGATGTAAGACAGTACTATCAGTTTCATAGTAGATGGTCCTACTACTGTAAAAATGAGGCCAACTTCATTTTCTTAAATGGGAACTCCAACTTTTTATTGTGTATTTTAATTTAAATTAAAAAAACCCACAAAGAATGTTTTAGATAAAAGTTTATTAAAGATCAGAAAATATGAAGTTTGGCATTGTTCCAGTAGTATTGAAGTTATTGAAAATGGTAGACTGTTTTACAGTTGCAGAAAGAGTTAACATCTTTATTTATGGGAAAACTAATAGATATGTCATGGATGCCTGCGATTCGTGCATTAACAGATTCCTTACTAGAAATCATTTGTTTACAAGTTTTCATTGCATCATTAATTTATTTACTGACATGGGAAGCATCTAACTAAAATCTAAGATTCAAAGAAATATTAGTAAAGATGCAGAAATTGGTGTTTTAGCTGCAGTAGTTCGAAATTCTCACATCAGTTCCAGAAAAATTGCATTATGCTCAGAAATGTTAAAATCAGTGTTTTGCACATGAAAATGAAATGTATGCCATTAAAAATCATATTTCATTGCACTGAGAATGCCATGACAATGATTTTCAAAATCACATAAACTTTTGTCACTAAACAAAACAATGACAATTTTTTCCCCACAACTGTTATTTTCTGATTAACACATCACAGTCAAACAAATTTTTTACTTAGGGGAAACATGCAGCCTACAAACTAAATTCAAATACCTCTAACTTTTGATAAAAAATATTTCATATCAAAGCTTATCAGTATTATATGTAGAATTAGAATATGCAATAAAAAATTAATCCGGTTATAATGCTCACCATAGGGTTCACATTTAAGAAAATGAAGTTAATCTCATTTTCACAGAAGCAGTGCAGTCTTATGTTTTCCCTTGATGTCGAACAAATTTGGTCTGATACATTTCATAGGATGCATATTTTTTGAGATATTTCCTGATAATATTACAAACAAACCAATCTGTGTATAAAATCTTAATTATTAAATTAAAATTATGTAAAATAGTCCATTAAAGTTTACTATTTTTTCCTCTCTAATATTAATTCCATAAAAATAGAGAATCGATCATTTTCATATTTAACAGTTTTCAAAAGAAATGAATTTTCACTTTCAAATGCGCAAAAATTTTGATTATAAATTTATAAAAAATTAAAATCTAAAATTCTACGTGCTGTTCACTATGATAATCGAAAGCATAAAACTTTACTGAATATTTAAATATGGTTTAATATTACAACTTAGTATGTAATTTATGGATTTTTATGCAGACGATGAAGCATCTTATGAAGTAATAAAATATCTTCAGGACAAAAATAAAGTTTTGAAATAGTTAAAAATCAGTTTTGCTACCCAACTAAAATTGTGCTTCATATTTAAAAATTATGAGTGATCAGTAAAATTTAATAGAAAAATCAAATTCAGTTTAGCAGTGAAATGGTAAAACTATGAAATAACAATACTTTAAGCATTTTCAGATATAAAGTCAAATAATTGGTTCCTGTCTATCTTATAATTGCTTCAAATAGTATGAATTTGAACAGTACTTTTTCACAAAATGCATATATACTCTCATACTGTATTTCAATAATATATATAATCTGAGCCTGTATGTTTCTATAAACAGATACACACAGGTTACAGAACTGTATCTATCTATTTTTAGAAAATTCTAATTAAACTTCAAAAACAAAAGTATCGTAATTTTGTCAGCCAATATTGTATAAACTTACCTTTTCTGGTCTTTGACTTGCTTCTGAAATTTTATTTATTGGTAAAGCAGATGTATTTGATGCAAATACACAATGCTCGGGAATTATTTGTTCAAGTTCTTTAACGACTTTATGTTTAAGATTAATATCTTCAAAAACTGCTTCAATAACCATATCGACTGATTTGAAACTTTTATAGTCTAATGTTGGCTGAAGATTTGAATAAATATGATCTCTTTCAAAACTGAAAATGATGATAACATAAAATTCATATAGTTAATAATATAATAAATGTAAAAAAATTTTAAAAACAAATAATCTTACGAAGAAAACTTCTTTTTCTTTACACCATCATTTAAACCTTTCTGAATTTGATTTTGACCCCTTGAAAGCCCAGCTATATTCACATCTTTCATCATCACATTAAATCCTTTGTCAATGCTAACTTGACAAATTCCTGCCCCCATTAAACCAGCACCAACAACACCAAGTGACCTAAATAAACAATATTTTGCTTTTAAAACACATCAATAGTATATTTATAAATCCTTAAATTAAATTGCTTATACAAATGTTTTACATAATTATCACATGAATGTTTAACTATTCTAATTTACATCTGAAGTTAGCTTCACACAAATAATGCTTCTTAAATTATTGATTATTTAGCATTTGATGATTACTAAATGCTGCAGAAATCTTAATATTTTACATACTTGGTTTCCAAAAAGTTACTGTGCAGTGAGAAATTTGTAATGACATAAGTTACACACCATTGCATATGAGACCAATAACTTGAATGTCCATGGATCATACAACTTACAGGTTTTATATGCAATACAATACATATAACTTTAAGGTCATTACAAATTTCTAACTGCAAAGTACCTTTTTGAATACTCTGCATAATACAAAAAATTCAAATCAATAGCTTTTACAAATTGTTGATTTATAATTACTTACTTCACTTCTCTTTGAGGATTTCCAAATCTGTTCTTTTTACACAATGTTTGGCCATGGTACAAACCTATTAAAGCTTTGGAATGAGAAGTCATTCCAAGTTCTCCAAATGCATTTGCTTCTGCTGGATATCCAGCATTTGGTCCTTTTTCTATTCCAGTCTTTACCACCTTTGTGAAATTATGTTTCATTAAAGTAACTTTCAAAAAATAAACCAAATAAGAAATAAAATAATCTCATAATGGAAAATTATTATTAAATATTACATTATTATGATAAATATAGTTTAAAAATTAAAAGTTAAAATACAACATTATCTAGATTTACAGATAAAATGCTACTTATAAGGATACAATTGTAATTGCTTTATGAAACTTTATGCACAATTTTATGTAACGTATGATTTTCACAATTAACAAAATAAAAATTTAATTAAATGTTACAGATCATAATCAATCAAATGCTAAAGATTTTCAGCTAAATTACAAAAAAAAGCTGAAACTAAGGTATATTAACTTTATTGAATATTTAGATTATTAAAAACTCTAGCATATTTCTATAAAAAGGACAGATGGTTTTTTTCTTTACATAGCATAAAAATAGACACAATAAAAATTAATTTATTCNTAAATGATAATTTCAACAAATAAACTGACTATAAAAACATATTTCCATCAAACAAAAATAAACTGACTATAAAAACATATTTCCATCAAACAAAAATTATCCATTTGATTTTGTTTACATTAGTTGCTTTCAGCCATGTCATCTAAAATTAATGATGCTAGCATTTTTACCTTATTTCCAAACAAATATGAACATGCTCTTATGCAAAAGTAACTTGTTTTAATGTTTTTGAAACATACAATCTGCTTCAATCAAATATAAGACCATGCTATGTATGTGTCAGCTTGTTTTGATTTATAATAGCACTACACTGCTTTATCAATGAAAATGTACTGATCAGTAACTATTTGGTGACATCTTTGTTGTCCATAATTGAAAATAAAAAGTCAAAATAAAAGAAATGCTCCTGATACTATTCAAATTTATTTAAAATATCAAAATGTTTTAGATATTTTGCAAAATATAGTGCCAGTTTATACTCTTACATGCAGAGAAACATGGTATATTTCACAAAAATAAAAACAAATGCATACAAAACATATAATAATTGAATTACTTATACTTAAAAAAAATTACTAAAAGCTTTCACCTAAAAACATTTTTAAAATTTTTTAATATTTTCATATAAATAATAAAACATTTTTACGAATTAAGGCAGCATTATTTTTCACTGGACCTTATTTCAAGCAGCAAAATAATTATTAATTCCTTGACTATAACTTTGTGAATTGATTATTGCAACTGACAAGATGTCTTATCTCAGATTCTAACTCAGTAGCTAACTTTTTTTTTATAAAGTTAAGCATACAGAAACTAGTTCATCTTGTTTTCCAAATGAACTTGAAAATCTGACTTATAGTAAAAATAGGATAAAAAATGATCTCATTTATTCCTCCAATCTTGGCAGCTTTCAGACTGATCCCACTGTTTCTAAATTATAGTCTGTCATTAGTTTCTTATGTAAAAAATGTTATTAACGTAGATGATTTTATCTATGATTGATTTAAATTATTATTTCAATATTATAATTATTTTTAACTAAGATATGTGTAATGCATAATTTTCCAAATCTTGAATAATAGTCTAAAAAATATAAAACAATAGTACTGAAACTTCCAATTTGAAATCTATTATTAGTTAAATTAGAATAATTTTCACTGTGACAGTATGAGATTTTGAAATATATTTTAATTTTACAAAGGATTTTCTTTAGCACTAGTTTTTTTTCATTTACAGGTTTGCATGCTATTTTTATACTTATATATTAAAAGTGAAGGATAAAACATAACTAGTGACTATCCAGTAACTATCTAATTTAAGTATTATTAATTTTCTACTATTCTTATTTAAAAAAATAAAGAACCAATAGATGAAATGGTGATGGATGGATATATGAAGCAATTAAAGCATCAGCTCATTCTAGAAGACCAACAATCAACTATAGCCAAGCAACTCTAGAAATTTTTCATGGGTGGTCAGTCCTGGATATGTCAAGCCCCATATACCATCACCTAACTTCCACCATTGTGGACCAGACCAAACCCACAATGGTTATGGAAAAAGGATCTCAAAGTGCCCACATAGCAGAAAGAATTGAACAAAAAGAATAAATAATAATAGATAAAACAACAAGCAAACTTTACACAGATTTTAAAATTAGTTTGAGAGTACATAATTATCATATTGATACTTTACCGAGCTTCATAAATTATTGATTAGATTTTTCTTCTTATTTTAATTTGTGTATTTGTAAAATCATCACTTTTATATCTTAAAATTTTAGAAATTATAATGTATCTAATCTAAGGTATAATCTAATATTTATATTAAATACATGTACGTATATTATCTGTAAAATGCATGTCAAGTTTATGAGGGATACAAATATAAAAATTCATAGTAAAATTCCTACTTTTCATTAAATAAAGTCCATGAAAAATATAATTCAATAAACATTTTAAAATTTATATCAAGTATAATATTAACTGAAATTTAAAAATTCTCAAAACTCTTTAATCTTTACCTCAAGAATTTTCAATGGTGCAGGATATAAACCTTGAGTTTGTTTCATAACTTGAGTCTTTGCTTTATCAAATACTTTCTGTCTCACATATGGAAAAGACATAACATAATTTGTAATTCCTTTAAATATAAAAAAAAATTAATTAATAAAATTATATTTAAAAATAATTTAATTGGATAAATATAAAATGTAGTTTCAATACTCACGTTCAACTAATGGGCGTTTTCTACTTATTTTTAATTTTCCTTTAGCAAGATTACTCGCAGTTTCAACTGCAACATTTTCTAAGTAATTTAGAGTGTTTTCTTCTGGTGTACTCAGTCCGGGTCCTAAAATTTGAGAACTATAATTTAACAAGTTTTCCTACTACCTATCATTTCTAAATTTTAAATTAATTTAAAATTTTTCAATATTTAAAGTTACTTATTAGACTGTTTTTGAAGACTCATTATTATTATTTGAACATAATAGATAAACACACAGTTTAGTCTCTCTCTAGACTACACTGCATTTAACACTTGTTTAGATGAAAAATTATGGACACAATTTTTTCTGTTAGATAAAAAGAAACTTAAATTTTGTTTATTAAAAATTCAACTCTCTCTTATAAATTGCAGCTTAAAACATTTTATATTGAGATTACCATCATAAAATGATAATTAGTTTAGAAATAGCTAACAGTTCTAAAGATTAAAAACAAGCTAAATCATTTAATTCCTATTCATATATAGATGTGAGAACTGCATTTACAGAAAATCTTTATTATAAAATCATTATAAATTATTTTAACATTTTGTTGTTCGGAAAAAGATAATGTTCCATTTTGAAAAAAATTATTGATCAACTCAGCGATTAAGATGTTTTCCACGGACTTAGTTCCTTGTTAAAAGTGACACACATGAGTCACTCAGAAGTAATGAATAAAACTCGATCGTTGGGCCTGAAGTACTAAAACTCTGGGTAGAGTCATGGGAAAAACCCAGGAGAGACCCCTTTATAAACAGGAGGGGACAATGACAACAGAGGCTTTTCCTCATCAGCGAGTGTGAACTTTTATGTGAGGGTGTGCATCCCACCTTTGCCGCTTCTTAACCCTTCTTAGCACCTGAACTTAACTGAAATTGAATTAGTACTTGAAATCAACTAAATCCTGAACTTCTTTGGATGGCCTAAGGACGAACCTACATCAAGGACCTACTCAAACTCCAGGTATTTGTCATCATGCAGAAGTTTCGTAAGCTCTCTCTACTGATATGATAAGCTTCCCCCTTGACGTTTACTTGAGTTAGTGAGAAAGCTAGCTCCTCAGTTGTGAATCCTGTAAATAGCCTCTCTGAATAAATGGATATTTGTTAAATGAATAGCCTTTGAGAGTGTACTTCTTCTGGGTATCTCCCATCTCCATTCCAACCCTAAGCCTCAACAGATGCAACACTTGTGCGAACAAGACGGAGATTGCAGCCATCTAGGTTTCTGTGTCTACCCAGAAGACACAGTGGTGTCATTCCTGACAAAGTTTGTCATTGTGGTCTTCACTGATATGATATCGACCCTTCAGTCCTGTGGTGCCAAAGAATAGGGAGCCCTTTGACATTGTCACACAGAAATTTATATTATAACTCTTCAATATATGAATTTTAAAAAGAACTATTCCTATAATTCTTAAGAACTTTTTTTATATCTAATCAATTAAATCTTCCTTTTAATTTGTACTATTTCAATTATAAATACAAAAAATTATCCAAAATAATTAAACATAAAGACAACTATTAAATGATATAGCCAAATTCTTATCACACTATAATACAGCTAATTAATTATTAAGATATTAAGTAGGTGGATTAGAGATAAGCAGTTAAGTCACCATCTTGTATTAAATTTAACCAATTGGAAACAAATTAATCAACAGAATAATCTGGAATAAAAAAGGGTCCAGAGTGAAACTTAAATCCACAACTCCTGCTTAATGCCAGTTATGCCTCCTGGATCTTTGTATAATCATTATTCCAGAGCAATTACTTTAGAAGATATAACAATACTGGTACTCACCATGCCAAGTGGGGATGACTACATACCCATGGCCTGCCATGACATTCACAACATATTTAAGATTTTACCCCAGAACAATGTACAGTAAGACCCTGCTTAATGCTGATTCGATATAACATGGTCTGCTCGAAGCCTAAAAAAAGCTCAAAATTTATGCTAATTCAAATTATCATGGCATTTCGTTGATTATTCCCAAACATGAACCAATCAGCAAAAGGTGGCAATTCATCGTAGTGATGTATTTTCCTTAAATCTACATTTGTTTTGTGAAATTTTGGAAAAAATATAATATCATGGATGCCATAGGTAATATCAACTTTGCTTGGCAAGAATTAATGGTTAAATGCATGAACGAAGTGTGGAAGAAGTTAAGGCTGAAGGTATCCAAGAATTCTCAATGAGAAGAGCCTACCGTGTTTCCCCGAAAATAAGACAGTGTCTTATATTAATTTTTGCTCTGAAAAATGCGCTAGGTCTTATTTTCAGGGAATGTCTTATTTTTTTCCAGGAAGAATTCACATTTATTATTGAACAAAAAAATGCCCAAGTCGAACTTAGACGAGAGTGACGTATATTCGGTGTGTCGAACTAGCCTTTTTATAGCGTCAACATCGGACTCGATGTCCAATTAGTGCTTACTGAACTGTAGCACCATGCAAATGTCATGTGGCGTGATTCCCGCCCGAACAATTAGCCATCACCAGCTGTAACGTTATGTAAATCTGTGATTCCCAAGCCATAGTCTTATGCAAATCATGCCGTGTGGCGTAATTGTCTGCTGACCAATCAGTGGCTGTACTTTCAAAAAACCAACGGACACTTTCAACCATCTGTCGATGACCGTTACAACTAAAAAAACTTCGCTAAGTCTTACTTTCAGGGAGAGGTCTTATATTTCGCAATTCAGCAAAATCTGTGCTAGGTCTTATTTTCTGCGAATGTCTTATATTCGGGGAAACACGGTATTGCTATATTTGTCAACCTAATCAATACAGCAGGACTAGGCAATGTAGACAAACAGGATATTGAAGAGTTACTGCATGTTTCTGGTGAGGGCCTTACCAATGACGACCTTCAAGAATTGGCAGAACAAGGAATTCATGTGCAACTGGAAAATAGTGATTCTGAAAACAAAGAACCCAAAGAATTTCTCTACCGATTTCCTTAGTAAAAGTTTGGTAATAATAACCAAAATTGTTGATCAAATTGTAGCAAATGATCTAGATTTTGAAAGGAGCGCAAAAGCAAAATGAGGCATTTTGGATGCAATCTTCTGCTACTGACATTTGCTTCAGGAAAGAAAAAAGCAATAAATAAAACTATGCAACTTTATCACAAAAAAACAAGAATTTCAGAAGATCCCAGACCTTCATCACAAAAAACAAACTTTACATTTCTGTGTGCATATGTTTATGTATTATTTAACATATATTATGATGCAAATTAATATAAAAATAATTTACAATTAAAGTAAAATCTGTTTATTTCTGGTCATGTGTTCCCCTTTCCCTATTTACCATGTTAAAATGACCTCGTTTAACACTGTTTTGTTCAGCACTTTGTCGTCTAGGAATGCATCCCCGCATTAAGCAGGGGTCTTACTGTATAGCTATATGCTGTGTGTATATATATTTTGGTTTAATATTAAATTATATGTTAAAATGATCAATTTATACCCCCATCTGTATCATTTGATTATTAATATACTATTAGGGTTAGATTTTCTCTATCATATGACCAATTTATAAACTTTTTATGAAATTTAAAATACTAAATAGTATAGTTGATTTAATTTTATAATAAAAGTTATATAATTATATGCATACCAAGTGTATCAACTAGTAAATCAACCAGGCCCATTCTCTTTGCACGATCAGCTTTGATATTACGGCCAGTTAACATCATATCCAATGCAGATGGAAGAGAAATCTAGATTTTAAATACAGAAAAACATGATAAAATTCACTTATAAAAAGGGTACTTAGAGTTCAATTTCTAAAATAATAAGCTTATATAATAATAAAAAAATGGACATATATATGCACATGTGCATGCAAATACATACACATATACACACAGTCATAGACAAAGGATGATTTCAAAAATTCAAAATTTATTGAAGATTAGAAATTCCAGAACTTAAATACATGGAAATATTGAAACTCAGTGTGATTTGATCAAGAACTGGATCATATATTAATACTATCATTAGTAGCAAAATCCTTGTATCAGCAAAAATAGTGCCCTCTATACATTTGCTTTATCTAGTTTGTGAAAAAATACTGTCAAAAGTCAAGTCGAATGAATAGAAAATACGTAAAATCTGATCATCGTAAGTACAAAATTTTATAGTCATACTTAATAAAAACATGATGAGAGATTTTTACTAAGTACAAAATCAAATGTGTTTATGTTGCTGAATGTCGAATATAATGTTTTTATTAAATACACTTGTAGATATGAAGTTTTATTTAAGCAGGACTGGACTACACCATGAAGTAGAGCTATCACTAAAGAAAAACCACACACAGTTTTAATGATTTTTCCAATGCTATTAAAATGTCCAATTGGGCTATTTTATAGTTAAAGGAATGCAGAAGATCTTTTTGCATGTAAAGATTCTGTTTCCAGAAAATAAAAACAAAACAAAAAAAAAAAAAAAAAAAAAAAAAAAAAAAAAAAAAAAAAAAAAAAAAAAAAAAAAAAAAAAAAAAAAAAAAAAAAAAAAAAAAAAAAAAAAAAAAAAAAAAAAAAAAAAAAAAAAAAAAAAAAAAAAAAAAAAAAAAAAAAAAAAAAAAAAAAAAAAAAAAAAAAAAAAAAAAAAAAAAAAAAAAAAAAAAAAAAAAAAAAAAAAAAAAAAAAAAAAAAAAAAAAAAAAAAAAAAAAAAAAAAAAAAAAAAAAAAAAAAAAAAAAAAAAAAAAAAAAAAAAAAAAAAAAAAAAAAAAAAAAAAAAAAAAAAAAAAAAAAAAAAAAAAAAAAAAAAAAAAAAAAAAAAAAAAAAAAAAAAAAAAAAAAAAAAAAAAAAAAAAAAAAAAAAAAAAAAAAAAAAAAAAAAAAAAAAAAAAAAAAAAAAAAAAAAAAAAAAAAAAAAAAAAAAAAAAAAAAAAAAAAAAAAAAAAAAAAAAAAAAAAAAAAAAAAAAAAAAAAAAAAAAAAAAAAAAAAAAAAAAAAAAAAAAAAAAAAAAAAAAAAAAAAAAAAAAAAAAAAAAAAAAAAAAAAAAAAAAAAAAAAAAAAAAAAAAAAAAAAAAAAAAAAAAAAAAAAAAAAAAAAAAAAAAAAAAAAAAAAAAAAAAAAAAAAAAAAAAAAAAAAAAAAAAAAAAAAAAAAAAAAAAAAAAAAAAAAAAAAAAAAAAAAAAAAAAAAAAAAAAAAAAAAAAAAAAAAAAAAAAAAAAAAAAAAAAAAAAAAAAAAAAAAAAAAAAAAAAAAAAAAAAAAAAAAAAAAAAAAAAAAAAAAAAAAAAAAAAAAAAAAAAAAAAAAAAAAAAAAAAAAAAAAAAAAAAAAAAAAAAAAAAAAAAAAAAAAAAAAAAAAAAAAAAAAAAAAAAAAAAAAAAAAAAAAAAAAAAAAAAAAAAAAAAAAAAAAAAAAAAAAAAAAAAAAAAAAAAAAAAAAAAAAAAAAAAAAAAAAAAAAAAAAAAAAAAAAAAAAAAAAAAAAAAAAAAAAAAAAAAAAAAAAAAAAAAAAAAAAAAAAAAAAAAAAAAAAAAAAAAAAAAAAAAAAAAAAAAAAAAAAAAAAAAAAAAAAAAAAAAAAAAAAAAAAAAAAAAAAAAAAAAAAAAAAAAAAAAAAAAAAAAAAAAAAAAAAAAAAAAAAAAAAAAAAAAAAAAAAAAAAAAAAAAAAAAAAAAAAAAAAAAAAAAAAAAAAAAAAAAAAAAAAAAAAAAAAAAAAAAAAAAAAAAAAAAAAAAAAAAAAAAAAAAAAAAAAAAAAAAAAAAAAAAAAAAAAAAAAAAAAAAAAAAAAAAAAAAAAAAAAAAAAAAAAAAAAAAAAAAAAAAAAAAAAAAAAAAAAAAAAAAAAAAAAAAAAAAAAAAAAAAAAAAAAAAAAAAAAAAAAAAAAAAAAAAAAAAAAAAAAAAAAAAAAAAAAAAAAAAAAAAAAAAAAAAAAAAAAAAAAAAAAAAAAAAAAAAAAAAAAAAAAAAAAAAAAAAAAAAAAAAAAAAAAAAAAAAAAAAAAAAAAAAAAAAAAAAAAAAAAAAAAAAAAAAAAAAAAAAAAAAAAAAAAAAAAAAAAAAAAAAAAAAAAAAAAAAAAAAAAAAAAAAAAAAAAAAAAAAAAAAAAAAAAAAAAAAAAAAAAAAAAAAAAAAAAAAAAAAAAAAAAAAAAAAAAAAAAAAAAAAAAAAAAAAAAAAAAAAAAAAAAAAAAAAAAAAAAAAAAAAAAAAAAAAAAAAAAAAAAAAAAAAAAAAAAAAAAAAAAAAAAAAAAAAAAAAAAAAAAAAAAAAAAAAAAAAAAAAAAAAAAAAAAAAAAAAAAAAAAAAAAAAAAAAAAAAAAAAAAAAAAAAAAAAAAAAAAAAAAAAAAAAAAAAAAAAAAAAAAAAAAAAAAAAAAAAAAAAAAAAAAAAAAAAAAAAAAAAAAAAAAAAAAAAAAAAAAAAAAAAAAAAAAAAAAAAAAAAAAAAAAAAAAAAAAAAAAAAAAAAAAAAAAAAAAAAAAAAAAAAAAAAAAAAAAAAAAAAAAAAAAAAAAAAAAAAAAAAAAAAAAAAAAAAAAAAAAAAAAAAAAAAAAAAAAAAAAAAAAAAAAAAAAAAAAAAAAAAAAAAAAAAAAAAAAAAAAAAAAAAAAAAAAAAAAAAAAAAAAAAAAAAAAAAAAAAAAAAAAAAAAAAAAAAAAAAAAAAAAAAAAAAAAAAAAAAAAAAAAAAAAAAAAAAAAAAAAAAAAAAAAAAAAAAAAAAAAAAAAAAAAAAAAAAAAAAAAAAAAAAAAAAAAAAAAAAAAAAAAAAAAAAAAAAAAAAAAAAAAAAAAAAAAAAAAAAAAAAAAAAAAAAAAAAAAAAAAAAAAAAAAAAAAAAAAAAAAAAAAAAAAAAAAAAAAAAAAAAAAAAAAAAAAAAAAAAAAAAAAAAAAAAAAAAAAAAAAAAAAAAAAAAAAAAAAAAAAAAAAAAAAAAAAAAAAAAAAAAAAAAAAAAAAAAAAAAAAAAAAAAAAAAAAAAAAAAAAAAAAAAAAAAAAAAAAAAAAAAAAAAAAAAAAAAAAAAAAAAAAAAAAAAAAAAAAAAAAAAAAAAAAAAAAAAAAAAAAAAAAAAAAAAAAAAAAAAAAAAAAAAAAAAAAAAAAAAAAAAAAAAAAAAAAAAAAAAAAAAAAAAAAAAAAAAAAAAAAAAAAAAAAAAAAAAAAAAAAAAAAAAAAAAAAAAAAAAAAAAAAAAAAAAAAAAAAAAAAAAAAAAAAAAAAAAAAAAAAAAAAAAAAAAAAAAAAAAAAAAAAAAAAAAAAAAAAAAAAAAAAAAAAAAAAAAAAAAAAAAAAAAAAAAAAAAAAAAAAAAAAAAAAAAAAAAAAAAAAAAAAAAAAAAAAAAAAAAAAAAAAAAAAAAAAAAAAAAAAAAAAAAAAAAAAAAAAAAAAAAAAAAAAAAAAAAAAAAAAAAAAAAAAAAAAAAAAAAAAAAAAAAAAAAAAAAAAAAAAAAAAAAAAAAAAAAAAAAAAAAAAAAAAAAAAAAAAAAAAAAAAAAAAAAAAAAAAAAAAAAAAAAAAAAAAAAAAAAAAAAAAAAAAAAAAAAAAAAAAAAAAAAAAAAAAAAAAAAAAAAAAAAAAAAAAAAAAAAAAAAAAAAAAAAAAAAAAAAAAAAAAAAAAAAAAAAAAAAAAAAAAAAAAAAAAAAAAAAAAAAAAAAAAAAAAAAAAAAAAAAAAAAAAAAAAAAAAAAAAAAAAAAAAAAAAAAAAAAAAAAAAAAAAAAAAAAAAAAAAAAAAAAAAAAAAAAAAAAAAAAAAAAAAAAAAAAAAAAAAAAAAAAAAAAAAAAAAAAAAAAAAAAAAAAAAAAAAAAAAAAAAAAAAAAAAAAAAAAAAAAAAAAAAAAAAAAAAAAAAAAAAAAAAAAAAAAAAAAAAAAAAAAAAAAAAAAAAAAAAAAAAAAAAAAAAAAAAAAAAAAAAAAAAAAAAAAAAAAAAAAAAAAAAAAAAAAAAAAAAAAAAAAAAAAAAAAAAAAAAAAAAAAAAAAAAAAAAAAAAAAAAAAAAAAAAAAAAAAAAAAAAAAAAAAAAAAAAAAAAAAAAAAAAAAAAAAAAAAAAAAAAAAAAAAAAAAAAAAAAAAAAAAAAAAAAAAAAAAAAAAAAAAAAAAAAAAAAAAAAAAAAAAAAAAAAAAAAAAAAAAAAAAAAAAAAAAAAAAAAAAAAAAAAAAAAAAAAAAAAAAAAAAAAAAAAAAAAAAAAAAAAAAAAAAAAAAAAAAAAAAAAAAAAAAAAAAAAAAAAAAAAAAAAAAAAAAAAAAAAAAAAAAAAAAAAAAAAAAAAAAAAAAAAAAAAAAAAAAAAAAAAAAAAAAAAAAAAAAAAAAAAAAAAAAAAAAAAAAAAAAAAAAAAAAAAAAAAAAAAAAAAAAAAAAAAAAAAAAAAAAAAAAAAAAAAAAAAAAAAAAAAAAAAAAAAAAAAAAAAAAAAAAAAAAAAAAAAAAAAAAAAAAAAAAAAAAAAAAAAAAAAAAAAAAAAAAAAAAAAAAAAAAAAAAAAAAAAAAAAAAAAAAAAAAAAAAAAAAAAAAAAAAAAAAAAAAAAAAAAAAAAAAAAAAAAAAAAAAAAAAAAAAAAAAAAAAAAAAAAAAAAAAAAAAAAAAAAAAAAAAAAAAAAAAAAAAAAAAAAAAAAAAAAAAAAAAAAAAAAAAAAAAAAAAAAAAAAAAAAAAAAAAAAAAAAAAAAAAAAAAAAAAAAAAAAAAAAAAAAAAAAAAAAAAAAAAAAAAAAAAAAAAAAAAAAAAAAAAAAAAAAAAAAAAAAAAAAAAAAAAAAAAAAAAAAAAAAAAAAAAAAAAAAAAAAAAAAAAAAAAAAAAAAAAAAAAAAAAAAAAAAAAAAAAAAAAAAAAAAAAAAAAAAAAAAAAAAAAAAAAAAAAAAAAAAAAAAAAAAAAAAAAAAAAAAAAAAAAAAAAAAAAAAAAAAAAAAAAAAAAAAAAAAAAAAAAAAAAAAAAAAAAAAAAAAAAAAAAAAAAAAAAAAAAAAAAAAAAAAAAAAAAAAAAAAAAAAAAAAAAAAAAAAAAAAAAAAAAAAAAAAAAAAAAAAAAAAAAAAAAAAAAAAAAAAAAAAAAAAAAAAAAAAAAAAAAAAAAAAAAAAAAAAAAAAAAAAAAAAAAAAAAAAAAAAAAAAAAAAAAAAAAAAAAAAAAAAAAAAAAAAAAAAAAAAAAAAAAAAAAAAAAAAAAAAAAAAAAAAAAAAAAAAAAAAAAAAAAAAAAAAAAAAAAAAAAAAAAAAAAAAAAAAAAAAAAAAAAAAAAAAAAAAAAAAAAAAAAAAAAAAAAAAAAAAAAAAAAAAAAAAAAAAAAAAAAAAAAAAAAAAAAAAAAAAAAAAAAAAAAAAAAAAAAAAAAAAAAAAAAAAAAAAAAAAAAAAAAAAAAAAAAAAAAAAAAAAAAAAAAAAAAAAAAAAAAAAAAAAAAAAAAAAAAAAAAAAAAAAAAAAAAAAAAAAAAAAAAAAAAAAAAAAAAAAAAAAAAAAAAAAAAAAAAAAAAAAAAAAAAAAAAAAAAAAAAAAAAAAAAAAAAAAAAAAAAAAAAAAAAAAAAAAAAAAAAAAAAAAAAAAAAAAAAAAAAAAAAAAAAAAAAAAAAAAAAAAAAAAAAAAAAAAAAAAAAAAAAAAAAAAAAAAAAAAAAAAAAAAAAAAAAAAAAAAAAANATTATTGTTATAATAAACTCACTTCTAAACCACCTCCAAAACAAGAACCCATGATAGCAGCGACTGTTGGTTTTCTACTTGAAGCAATTTGATCTAAAACTTCTTGGCCCTCCTTAGACAAAGAGGTCATCTCTTCTTTTGTATTACAAGCTTCTAACATCCTAAAAGTATTTTAAAAATTATCAATTTTAAAGTAAAAATAAAAATAAAATTATAGATATAAAGAGCATTCAAGATCCAAGGTCTCTGAATTTATTTCTTAAGAAGTACAGACAGCAGAAAGCTTTAATTGCTATCTCTTCTCAATGTAATCACCCTGTAGAAGTACACATTTTTCACAATATTGATACACAATTGGATGACCACTGTGAATGCTTCTTTAGGGGTATGTTTTGTCCACTAGAAAACTGATTATGTCAGAGTGAAATAGTGGCAAATGTGTGACCACAAAGTGTCTTTCAGCATTGAAAAAAGCTAAAAACCACTAGGTTCAAGATCAGGAGTATGATGCATGAGGAACAACTTGTCCAACCTTAAATGCCAGCATTGTTTAAAACAATTCTCATGTTTCTATATTCTAACCCAAAAAATAAATTTGGAGACTTTACAACTTGAATGCACCATATATATAAATACAATATCATAATGGTATATATAATGACCACTACTCTGTCTAGGGTTAGCATCAGAAAGTAACTAGATTAATTTATTTCTAGATATCTACAAAATTTGCATTCATAAAATACTTATAAACTTTTATGCATGTGTCTTTGATTCTAAATAAGAAATGATTTAAATTATAATAGAAAATATGATAGATTCGCTTAAGGATGTGTGTGTAAAAAATTTCTTTGAACTATATAAATTTAATTTTAACACATGAAAAGGTTACCATAATTTATTCATTATAAGATTTAACAGGTAGTGTCTGAATAGGCAAGAAATTATCTCTCTCTTATAAAATTTCTCTGAACTGAATTTAGAAAATTTTATTGAAAAGCAAAAAAGAACATTACAGATTTGATAATAAAATATAAGGAATGTGATAAAGACAAAAGTGTTTGATGTAGTAACCAAAAAGATTTTATTTAGAAGCATTTTCAGCTTACATTTAAGCAGAATATAGCAAAACAAAGTTAATAAATTTGTAAACAAATAACAATATGCATTTTAAAGTAAATAATACTTATCAATATAGTTATTTGAGTTCAAATTGACATGCATGCTTGAATTCCAATTTGAATTCTATTTGATAAATGTTGTTAATTTAAATTTGATACATGCTTATTAAAATTATATTCTATTTATGTTTTTTGAACATTAAACTTTCAAATATCAAACACAATTCCTTAAATACTGTTCTTTAAATATGAAACAAAACTGATGATGGCTGCAGAAAGTCCAAAACCATTTCTTTGATGATGAACTTATCTTTTGGTTACCTTAAACTAGCAGTGTTATGTTACATTCTTACATAGACAGACACAGTCAGAACTGGAGCCAAATCAGAATATAGATTATAATTAATATTCTACACAATATCTGTCATCAACAAAAGTTTTCCTTATAGAATTTTTAATATTCGACAAAAAAATATTTATACTTTCATAATTTTGTTTATGACTATTAAATTATTAGTTTTTTTATTTTACAAATTAGTGTAATTTTTAAAATGTTACCAAATACATACCAACTGTGGCAATCTCTGTGTTCCACCTGCACCTGGTAAGAGACCTAACATCACCTCCGGAGTTCCTAGAAGTGTCTTTTTATCTTTTACTGCAATACGGTATTGACATGCAAGTGCTACCTGCAAAAAAATATAATACAAATTTCTCATTATATAGAATTTAAAATTACTGTTAATAGGCAGTTAATTAAGCCATCATCTCATGTTAAATTTATTAATTAAAAATGAATTAATTTAGAATATTCTTGAAGAAAAGAGATTGGCCAGAGTGAGACTTGAACTTGCATTATTTAACATGGAAGTGTGTTAAACTGTTATAAATATACATTACTACTAATGTGAAATTGTATTCTTTGTTTAAAAACTTATTTTAAACTTTTTACTTCACATTTTGTTTTGAATAAAATCAAGTTGAAATGTCTTCAGATAAAATATTATGCTTTATGGATTTCAAAAAGGATATACAGCGGAACCTCACTTAACGAGCAAATCAAATTTTTTAAAAAATGACTCGCTTAACGAGCGAAGTTTTGCATAATGAGTGACGAGGAGAGGGAAGTCCTAGATTGTGTGCATACTCCATCATGCTATTATCTGTGATTTTTTTGTTCTCTGCAAATCGAATTTGCATTCCAGGTTGGTTCATTTCATGCTAGAAGAAAATATGATGATGAGTCATATTCCTTAACAATATATATTGTATAATTTTCTTTGAATAAATGTTATACATAAAATACTGTATTTACTCGCATATAGAACGAAGTGTGATTTTAAAGATCAAAATAAAGAAAATTAGATTTATTGATACAATTCTAATTTTATTTTGTTTAATCACAAATAAATTATCATCAAATGCACATATTGAAGCAATCAACTATGTTTTCTTGAAGCTATCAGGTTTTTTGATCTAATAATGATATGCAATCTCAAAAAATATTTTATCATCATTAACAAGTGACTGCTTTTAGGTTATTGATGTCAATGTTAGAAATTAAATTGTTTGCTTTTGTTATTTGTAAAAAGTAGAATTATAACAGCTTATAAAAGTTTATTTTATATAATCAAGTTTAATGTAATTCATAAAACTTG